GCCCGGGTGCTTCCCCCGCCGATGATGGCATGACCTGGTGGTACAGGTGGCTCTGCAGGATTGCCGGGGTCATCGGGGGCATGTGTAAGTATCCCCTTCCCTTGCAGCCAAAGGTTCCCCTTCAGAGCCGCTTGTGCATGCGGAAGCGCGCGTCGGGGTCCTGCCTGCCTCTTGTTAGGGTCACGTTTGTGTAGGGGGGGGCGCGCCACGAAACAATCATTTGGGGTTATGGGTTTGCGCCTGCTCTAGACATTCGTTTGCTTTGTTTCGGGCAGAAGGAAGAGCCGTGGACATGCCTGAAGTGGGGTGGTGTGAGCTGGCGCACGAAGGATGTGCTTTGCGCTCACCCAACTTGCTGAACTTTGGCACCTGGGAGAAGGGACGTCACGGGGGGATCTGCAAATCCTCAAGTTTCTTCTTGGGTAAAGCACTCGCTGGAAGCGATGGGAGCAGCAGCTGAGCCCCTGGTCCTGCGGGAGGGCTGTGGGCAGATAAACTAGACGTCGATTTTACTGTGAGCACCAGGCTCAGGGTGCTCAGCAGGGTCAGGTTCAGGGCTTGAACAGGGACCACGGGATTTGGTTCATCCTCTTGGACTGTCGGGTGTTTGTATGTTCCTGCAACTTATTTTCTCTCCCCGTTCAGAATGTCGGAGCGTGTTTCCTGTTACTCCTGTTGTTGATCGCAGAGGGCCTGCCTGTGGTTTTTTTTTTTTTTTGAAGGCGAATAATGGACTTGGTTTGTCTTGTGTGTTTTTAAGGGGTTTAGTCTTGGACACAGAGAAGAAGGGAGCCGGCGTACAGCAAAGTGAGTTGGCTGTGCTCTGAATTACCTGCTGCTGAAAAAAATTTTCCCAGGGACAGTCTTTGCAACTTTGCCAGAAATCAGCCTCTCCTGTAGTGCTGTTTTGCTACGTTCTGTGGAGAGATTAATAGCTCTTAAAAGCAGGAGGGACTGTTATGACCGTTTAGTCTGATCTCCTGCAGAGCACAGGATGGAGAATTTCTTCTGCTTCAGGCCCACGACTTCTAGTAAAACAAGAGTGTTTCTCAGCCAGTGCAGTCAGCCCTGATTTATACCCTTGGCTGTAGCGTTTCGTCTGATCCCCCTCTCTCTCTGCCCCCTTCCCATGCCTGCCTCTTGCCTCAGGACTTGACTGCACAAGCCCACGGCGTTTTTGCAGCCAACCTTGTAGACCGTGGTATCGTTGGGCAGGCTCGCTACAGCCCTTTTTGGCTAGGCTGGTAAACCATATGCTGCTCTCAATATTTTCTGTCTTAGGTGCTGAAATTCTGGAGGTGTGAAAAGATTTGGTTTTGCAGCAAAACGTACTGGCCTCGCCATGCTCTGCCTGGGGCCCCCGCGCTTCTGGTCCCAGCAGACGGCCAAGAGACCAGCTGGGACGTGTCTTCAGTGCAGGTCCCAGGTGGGGGTTTAGCGTAGCGGCGTCTTTCTCACAGGCTGGGGCTGTAGCCGGAGCCTCGGCGCTTTTTGTGTGGCTTTGGCCCATGCACAGGGGGATGAGGATGGAGGGTGAGGAGCTGGAGAGGGTGGCTGTTGGGTCGCATTGGTGGTGTTGCCCGCCTCATGCTAGAGCAGCTCAGGAGTGGCTTAAAAGCGGTGCAAGTCTTTGAAGACGTATTTTTTCTCTGCCTTCATGTTTCAAAGCAGCTGAATTATGCTTGGATTATTCTCCCAACCTTTTGTTCACAGCTCTGAGAAGTCATGACGTGTTTTTAAAGGAAAGCTGAGAGTTTTATGTATTTGGGTTAGTCTGGGAGAAGAAGCTTTTGGAAGAAGAGCCAGGCTCTTAACTGGATTGCCGATGATGCGGGGAGTCAGACAGAAATCATTTATAAGCATTTTGAGCAACTGGATTGTGGTCCTGCTACAGGGCTGGATTATTTCTTACAGAAGGAAAAATTCTCTGTTGAAGGGAAGAGAAACTTTGTTAGTGGAGGTGAGACTGGCGGACGTCTGCCACATGCACACACCTGCAGCCCACAACTTGCTTAAGCCAGAAAGGTCCAGGGGCTGGAGTAGGAACAAGAACAACAAGGTTCGGGATCTGTTTCTGGCTCTTGCACAGGCTGGCTTGGTGACCTTGGCCAAATCCCTTCTCTCCCTTGTGTTGCTGTTTGTAAAAGGACGAGGAGAGTCTGTGGCTTTTGTAAAATGCTCTAGGAGCAAAAATAGGCTTGTGTTGGGGACAGTGACCAGCTGCTTGAAATGAATAGAGCCTTTGTAGGGGGTGGTGTTCTTCCCCCTCATTTTAGCTCCCAGTTATTTGTGCTTCCTCAGGGATTCAGGATGGGACAGCAGTTAGACAAATGGCAGAGCTGTCTCTCTTCCATAGCTTACGTGCCATTGAGCATTATCTGCATTTTAAACCTATTGCGAGGCCTCTGTTTTGCAAAAAGAAGTCTGTGGGTTGGCAGCTCCGTCCCCTTTTGGCTACTGAAGCAGGAGTCGATCCCGTCCTGGTGGGACAAGGACGTACCAGGCTGCTGTGGGATGCACTGCTCTGCAAAGGAGACTGAAGGTCACCGAATCGTTATCTCTGTGGCTGTTGGCAGCCGCCACCGAGTGCAGTGTTCCTGTGATTATAAACCTTTGACTCCTTTCCCGCTGGGTTGGTGCTCGTGCTGATGTAGGGGCTTGCTCAGCTCAGGCTTGCTGGGTCATTAGTCCATTGGCAACCAGGGTGGTTGCTTAGCTGAGACTCCTGCGGGGACACTTAGTGCTCAAGGGTTGTTTTGGGGTGTTTGAGGACAAAACCAAACCAGAAACCCGACCAAACAACCCCCGGTTGGCTAGATTAAAAAAAGACTAAGGCCAAAAACCTGCCTGGAAAATAACATTCTGCCTCCCTTGGTTTGTTCTGTGGTGACCAATTTTGTAGCTGTGAACCGCTTGGACCTCTATGCTCTGCCATGCTGTTCAGCAAGGCGGGGTTCTGCCCCAGCCCTGGCTGTGTTTTGGGGGTAGTCGAGATGCAGCTGTTTTTTGCTGTTCTGCTAATTACAAAGTGCCAGAAAGTCATTTAGTATTATTTTCAGAAGTGTGCTTTCCTGGGGGAGAGCAAGTGTTACAAGCCTGCGGTGCTTCCCCTGAGCTCCTCTTCCATCAGCATCCAAGGGTTTGTTGGTCACAGGGAAGAATTGGAAACCTCTCTGTTGTGCCCTGCTCTCCGACCTGCCCGCTGCTCCCAGCAACCCTGCTTGCCATTGCTTCTCCAGCTCTCCAGCTGTTTGCGTGTGTGACCGTGAGCAGGTCATCCCACCCCAGTGCCTCAGTTTCCCCTGCAGTGTGGGGACACTGACACTGGTCCTTTTGGGAGGATGAGAAGCTCCCTTGGAGCATGGATATTAACATGTCCTCTGGCATTTCTCCTCTGCTGGCTGATCTTGTTCTTGCAGGATTCTCTGTAAGATTTTGGGTCCTGTGGAATAGTCCTAGGAAGCCTTTAAAAATCACCTTGTTTGGTTGTTTCCTAAAACCAGGAGGTCACTTGCTTGTGGGATGACCCTAGATCAGCCCTGTCATAGGCCTGCAGTTCTGTTTCCCCGTCCGGTAAATAAGGATAACTATTTTTAAGGGAACTTTGAGGATTCAGCAGTGACTGCTTAAAAGAAACCTTGCAAACTTGTGCCAGGCTTTTGAAGGTCAGGACTGCTCACAGCAGCTCTGCTCAGGGATCCCCTTAGCAAAACACAAGCAGAAATCTGAAACACCCAAACCCAGGCTGGTCTCATTCTCAGAGATGGACTCTGCTGCTCTTCATTATGCGGCTAATCATCCCCAAGACAGCCTTTAAGGGCTGTATAATTTTAGCTGGAGTTTTGCAGGGTGGTGGTGTTTACTGTGGACTCAGTCTGTGTCTTGCTGCCCTCCCCGGGCTCGGGTTCCCAGCTGAGCAGCGGCAGCCTGTTGGTATCGGCGGAGGAAAAGGGCCATATCAAGTGCCGGGAACGCTCTGCAAGTTTAATGAGGCAGGAAGGAGGCGCATGCAGCCTCGGCTTGGACGCTGCCGCCTGGTTCGTCTCCGTGCATTACTGAATCAGGAGTGCTGGGGCTATTTTGGGCTCTGCTTTTTCTAGCATCTGCTTTCATTTGTATTAGCGGAGACCTAAACTTGGCTCTTTTCTGCCCATCTCTAGTGCAGAACCAGCTCTGTGTGGCTGAGACCGGGTTCACCTCTGCTTTATTTATTGTTTGCCTGTGTGCCTTGATGCTGCAAGTCATGTTTTTGCTGAACTTCCCCTGTGCTGCTCAGAGATGGGTGCCTGCTGGGACCTCTTTTCCTTTTCCAGGACAAAGCAGTAATTCCTCAGCAAATAAAAATCAGGGCGCCACAGGGTGCCACATACGTGACTCCACGTAAAAGCAAACGCTCTGTTGTTCTACCCAAGTGAAATAGTTGTGCAGGTGTCACGCTGAGACACCAAGCGTTCGGAGCAAAAGGATACCTGACCGGAGGAGCTGGGAACAAACCCTCTTCCCCTGCATCCCGGGTTCCTCTTCAGGCCGTCAGACCTTTCCACCCACCCTCCTGTGCTGGTCTGTACAGGCTGCTCTGCAGTGCCTAGAGGTGCCGGCCAAGGCAAGGGCTTTTCTGGGCAGCCCCTGCTCTGCAGAACAGCCCAAAATACAGGAGAGCGAAATCATGCTGGTGTGGCTGCAAGGTCCCGTTGCAGGGCAGAGCTGGGAGGAGAAGCCAGCCCTGCCTGCCAGGCTCCGGCCCCGCTGCCCCCGTGGGCGCACTGGGTTGGTCTTCATGGTCATTGAAAGCCTCTTTGCTTTCCAGCCTGTGCCTTCGCTGGTCTCTGGAACTGTGTCACCATCAACCCCCTGAACATCGCGGCCGGCGTGTGGATGATGTGAGCAGAGTTTCTTTTCTTTTTTTCTGCCGGGAGGGAGGTTTGGTTAATCGGACGCCACTGGGCAAGGGGCAGAGCCGCCCCGCTTGGGCAGTTGATGCGAGTGAAACCTCCGTCAGGCTCTGTGAATTGCCAGATCTTGCTCCATCGGGTGGGTTGAGACACTGGTTTTATTCTATTTATAGTCTTTCTTTACCCCTTTTTAGGTAAATACTGAGATACCCTTATCCAAAATAAGTCTGGGGCACCAGGGTTTGGGAATTACCAAGAAGGGGGGAGGGAGTGCAGAGGGGTCCAGCCCCGCCATTCCTTTCTGCCTGCATTTGGGCATGGGAGCGGCTGGTCTCCGGGGGCATTGCTGACCCTCGCTCTGGGCCACGCGGGCAGGATTAACTCTGGTTTGCTCTATCTGGAGGCTCAACGCCTTTGTCCTGTTCCTGTGCGAAGCCCCCTTCTGCTGCCAGTTTATCGAGTTTGCGAATGCCGTCTCCGCGAGGGCGGACAAGCTGCGGCCCTGGCAGAAAGCTGCTTTCTACTGCGGGTGAGGATGCTCCTGGGGTGTGTTGTGGTGGTGAAGCCATCCCGGGAACCGCGTCGGGATGCACGCGGGCACGCCGCGATGGATGAGCATCCCCGCCTTCCGTGGGGAGCGGAGCCCGGCTTTGAGGGCTGCCTCTGTCTTCCAGGATGGCTGTGTTCCCCGTCATGCTCAGCCTGACGCTGACCACGCTCTTTGGAAATGCCATTGCGTTTGCCACCGGGGTGCTTTACGGCCTGTCGGCGCTTGGCAAAAAGTAAGAGAGACCTGCCTGCTTGTGGAGGGGAGGGAAGGGGAAGGTGGACCTCCAGCCCTCACCCCCATCTGCCTCCCTAAGGCTATGCTTTCCTCTTGTACTAACCTTGCTTTCAGGTGTAAATGCTGCCAGAGAACACCTTGCTTTCAGGTGTAAATGCTGCCAGAGAACACCTCCCTGCCATCGTCTCAAAGCTCTGGGAGGGAAGCTCCTAGGGTTTGCTGAAGCTCTGAGCTTTTCCTTGGGAGCTCAATCTAGGTTGCCCTGTGGGTCCCGGCCCTCTTTCTGCAGCCGTTGGACGGATGGGCCCAGCTCTGGGGGCGGTGAGCAGCTTTGGTGGGGTTGGAGAGGGCCAGCACGTCTCATTTCACTCCTGGCATCCCTCAGCACGGAGAGGCGCGGGCCCTGGTTGGGAGACCTCTCTGCCAGGTGCTGTACCCACCATGGTGGGCACCTGGAGCTCACATCCCCACGCTGTCCCTTCTCTCTGCAGGGGAGATGCCATTTCCTATGCTCGGATCCACCAGCAGCAGAAGCAAATGGATGAAGAGAAGCTCACGGGCGCCCTGGAGGGGCAGGCTCTCTGAAGCACACGAGCTCGGGGTAACCTCTCCCGGACACTGAGATGGTGAAGATACGGAAATCCACTCTGCCCTTCCCTCTGCCCACTCCCCTCTCTGTTACGCTACGATTTCCCTGGACACTGGAGCAACTGGAAATCTCAGGGGCTGGGGCGGGCTGTGCCCTCTTCTCGCACCAGCAGCCAGACCTCAGCGCGTTGGCCCCCTCTATCCTCCTCAACCCTCAACCAAATATCTCACGGTCCCCCTATTTTTTAATTTTTCAATTTTTTTTTTTTTTTTTTTGCTGCAGAGGTGCTGGCTCTTTGAGTGCTGCTTTACAAGCCTGAATAGGTAGCCTTTCTTTGGAGTGACGCCTGCTAACGAGCCCAGGATGCAGTGCTCGTTTGGGAACTGCTCTCCGGATGGGGTGAGGAAGGACAGAGCTGACGCGCCAGCTCCTTGCAAGCGTTGGTCTCATGGGAGTCAGGGAGCTGCTGGCCTCGTGCCTGGAGATTAACCTGCCATTGCACATTACACGTTTTTAGTAACGCTCTCTGGTGTGGCCCTTCCCAGGTATAATACACTAATCCAGGGTTTAGCAATACATGGTGATGCTTAAGCTTGGTTTTCTTCCATTGAGTATATTTTAATATGGGTCCAGTTAGGCCAGGCATCGGAGGCATCGCTGCATGGGAAAGGACTTCCAGCAAAAAACCCATATAAAGACAATAACCATCTCTGCAGAGGATCTGCCAGAGGTGCTGGGGCAGATCCTGGTACCTACAAAGCACAGTCCCCCTTTCCTCTGGATACAGCTGCAGGCAGTTACTGCAATTTACTTGAATTATAAGAATTAATTACTTTGTCTTAATAAGGGTACTTTTCTTAAGCTTCACTCTTTTACTGGGGAAGAAGGGAAATAAGGTTTGCTTTACCTCAGCTGAAAAAGGGTACTATTGCTTGAGCAAAGTGGGATTTTTTGTGGGTATAAGGTTTACCGATGTGCAAGAGCATCCTTCTCTCGTGAGCCCGGGACTCTGCTCTGTTATCTCTCACTCCCTGCATCCACTCCTGCCCCCATGGCCCATCCCTTTGCGCAAGGGACCTGCTCTTTGCTTCTGTCTGGTACAGCCTTTCTTCTTGGGCTCATGTTCGTTTTGCATCGGTCCTGGGCTGGTTTTGTATGGGGAGGTGGCATATCCTTCCTTTGCAAACAGAGAGAGGTCTGCACCGTTTCAGTGTGGATAGCTGGGATGTCTTGCTGCTTTATTCCAGTCTCCACCAGTGGTTCTCGCATTGTATTTTCTGTTTGCTTTGTATCATGCAGAACAAAACTGCTCACTGAGTCCAGATCCCCCTCTTCTTATTATGGTTTCTTCTGGGGGGGGTTAATTTATTTGATTTTACATGATTGCTTTTTATTTTGATTAGGAAAAAGGGGAATAATTTATTTCTAGTTATTTAAGTATTTTGATGGGACTCATTTTCTCTGGACATAGGAGAAAGGAGTGCTCTGTTTCCTGTCCTTCAGAGGACTGCCTCATTTCACTGGGGGGTCTCTGAACCCAGGGAGAGCCCTGGCTGCTGTAACTGGGATACTGTAAAATCCTATTTCAGCCTTCAGAGCATTTCTCAGGCTTTGGAAAGTGTGTTGTCCTTTGACTCCTTTTCCTTCTTCTGGGCCACTGGCTTGACAAAGTTTGTTTTCCCCCTCTTCTGGGAGAGAGAAGGGAGGAAAACCAGGCTGTAACTGCTGGTTTGGAGGTTTGTACTCACTCGGCAGCCCAGGCAGATAGCAGCTACGGTGAGCAGTGGCAGCGGGGACTGCAGCCTGTTCTTACTCCCTTGCCCTGGGAGCTGAAGCTCCTGCTGCCACCAACACTTTGTGGTCCCATTTGAATCACTGGGGTACCAGAGGGGTCATGCTGCGGTCTGAGAAACGCTGCTGGAGGCTGACTGCTGTCTGTCAGAAGAAGGGTCTGTCAAACCAGCTGCTCTGTGGCTTCTGGGCAGTGTCGTGTTGGAAAATACCTATATAACATGTCCTTCCTCTAGGGACGGTGCATATTCGCGTTAGCTGAACGACACCAGAACATCCCTGGCAGAGCTGCTGGAGGGGGTGGCTGGGTACGGAGGTAGCGTGTGCATTGCGGCAGGAGCAGAGCGGTCCCTGGAGATCGGGGGGCTAAGCTGCCAGCTAAGGTTAGCTGTTGTTTCTTCCTTGGAGTTCAGGGAGGTGTGAGGATTTACACCAGTCAGGAACGCGGCTTGGGTTTATTCACGCACGCAGGCCCCTGCAGCTGAACGCTGCGCAGCCACTTTGCGCTAAGCCCCTTTCCCCCCAGGCCTCTGAACCGTGACTGCTCTGACACCAGCTTGTCTGGGATGCAGAATAGGCACCGCCAGCCCAGATGCAGCTTGTTTCAATAAAGGCTGTGCTGTTTCGGAGCCCCCCAGCTCTGGGCTGGTCCCTGTTGCTGCCTGCAATACACGGGCCATTGGCCTTCCTTGCGCGTGTGTACAGGGACCGCAGCCCCCTGCGTGGGTCGCGCTGCCTGCAGTAATGGGGTGCTGCAGGAGGAATACCCTGCAGCCCGCGGGGTACTGCAGTGGTAATAGCCTCTCATCTCTTCGAGCCAGCGGTGTCCCTGTGCAGTACCTTTACTGGGGGGGTTCAAGTGCAGAGTCCTGCCTAGCAAACAGGACATCTGCTTTGATTTCAGGGGGGTTTGGGGAGTTAAGTAGTGTTTAGTAGAGGAATGTTGCAGGCTGATGCACGTAGCTACGAGCATGTCTTTGGTAGTGACCGCTTTGCTCTGTGAGTAGTTCCGCAGTAGCTTTAGTGACAGGAGGTGAAAGGCAAAGCAGAGGTGATGATAGAGTAATGCTTGCAGGCTGGTCTACGCCCACGGTGATGAACCACAGATCTGGTAGGACCCTCTCTGGCTTCACCTGATTGCTGCTGGTCATTGCATTAGGACAGTCCCTGGGGCTGGCACAGGCAGACGCTGCTCCAGGTCACCCGGAGGGCTCGTCGGCACGGACGGGTCCGCTCTGCTCCCTTGGCACCACCAGCAGAAGTCCCTTGGATGCCAGCAGTACTGTCGTGCTGTGTTTTGCGGCAGCTGGGTCTGACAATGGGGCCAAACCAAGTGAACAATCTGCATCAGCTCTGCCACCGTTAGCAGGTTGCAAAGCTCAGCTCTGAGCTCAACGCTTTTGTTGGAAATAGGCCTCAGGGACTCTTCTGTAAGAGCTGAGCTGGAGCCTTTGGCCACAACACTTACAGACACCGGGTCTGTTCAGTTTGTCTGTGCCTGTCGCAACAGGAGGTGTCTCAGATCCACGCTCCAAGAGTGCTGACTCCTACAGATGCGCGTCTAGAGGGGGAGCTCTTGGGAATTTCGGCTGTCTGTGGTGCAGCTGAAACCAAGCCAGATGCTGCCATCGTTGCAGATGTGGCTTGGTGACAGCACCCATGGCTTTTAAGAGTTGTTGTGACAGTTAGTGGATGGTCTCACCTCCATGTAGGCAAGAGACTATTTTTGTGGAGATAGAAAGGACCTTTAGGGTAGTAGCATCACGGTAGTTAATATGCCTATTCACAGTGCATGGTGGTTATTAATTGTGTTTAGAGGCACCATCAGGGTGCTTGGAGCTGTGTAAGGATAAATGAAGTTAAAAGCCCTGCTCTAGAGATTTTACAAGCTCAACCCAATCCCCGCTGATGGCGTCCAGGCTGGATGGCTAATCCACAGGGTCTCTATGGAAGAGGTTCTGCTTGCCAGGTCTTGGAAAGGCCTCTTAGGAGACGATGGGACAGAAGTTCTGTTACATGAGAACTCAAGAGCAGGTGATGCAGTGACTCCAGTGAGTTGTTGACGAGTGTGGAAAGACACCTGGGTACTGGCAGCATATGTGCACTTAACAATGGACTGTGACACCATTCGCCACGTGAGCTGTGCGCTTCTTACCCACGTGCATTTATCCAGCGTGCAACTCTTCCATGTCCCATTCAGTCATGAAGCTGACAGCACTTGTGCATATTAGCTCCACTGTCCCCTGGGGCTGTCCATTGGGCGTGAAGAGAAGAGCAGAAGCTCGCTTTCTGCTGCGTACCCAGACCTCGCTGCTCTGGGCAGGAGCTGATTTTGTAACACCAATTGATTCTCTGTGTGTGCAGTGAATAAAGAGACCATTCTACCTCTGGAAAGAGCCACTGTGATTTCTCAGACTCTAAGTGTTGTAGCAAAACCCCTCCGACTTTCTATATGGAAGACAGGAGGTCACTCAGAAAATACTTCTCCAATAAGGATCTCACAGGACCTGAAGAGTCCAACCTCATTTCATATTCGGGCATTTCCTCCTTAGGCTGAGCCCTGGGAAGCTCAATTCATCTTCGTCATTTTTTCCTCAGGAAAAAAACATCCACTGTTTTCAGGGAAGGGTTTCACTGAAGTGAAGATATCAAGACCTGGTCCATAGCCATGTGAGAAAGACAGTGCTCTAGCACAGGGCTGCCAGAGATCCTGATCTTCAGAAGGTCAGTGGAAACCAGAGGCTTTTGAGACCTCTCGTAGTCAGGCCATGCTTAGAAACAGTCATATTCCAGCCAGGGCTGAACATCTTTCTGGAAATGGGTCTCAGCTGCAAAGGTTAGGTCTAATACTGAATTTTCTCTGTGGTTTTGGTTTTGGCCCATCTCTCTTCCTCTGTCCCAGGCTGCTTTAAATTAATCCTCTGATAAAGCACATCTTCTCTTAGGTGACTTCTCTCATCTCCTGCTGCAGGGGATCTAAATAGTAGTTAGCATATCTTCAAATCTGGGTCAAATACCCTATGCTTCCTTGTCACAGCAGGCTGAATGTTCCAGGAATGGGAGGACACAAGCATCTCCACCAGACCTCGGGGTGCCAAGTGCATTTCAGGAGGTTGGACGAATGCTTGGGCAAATCATCTTCCAGCTCAGCCTTTGTTGTTCTGCCCTTTTGGGAGGAGTTAGGTTGGATGTGATACTCAGTAAGGCCGTTCATTCCTCGCAGCCGTAACCACCTCCTGCAGCTGTGTTTTACCTAGGGTTAGGCTCTAAAAATATTTCAAAAAGTCCTTAATCTTGCAGGACACACAGGAAAGGGGTAAGAGCAATTTGCTACTAACTATGCAGTTGAAATCTCAAAGCGATGGAGGTGGAGGCTCCACACAGAACCATGATGGAGGCACATCCACCTTCCTCTTTGTGGATGAGTAAAACCCTGGGGCGGGAAGGACCCGCCCCAGTACAAAGTATTGTCAGTACCTACTGTGTCTTTCCTACAGCGAATCACTTGCACTACAGCTGAATGTTTGTCTGTTCCTGTTCTTTGTTTTGTCCTGGATTTTCTTTGTGAACTGTATTTGGTCTTGTTCATTAGGCTTCTAGTGTAATGTGTGTTTTTAGAGCAATAAAACGTGGCAGCTTTTTATACAAAATATCTGGCTCTGCATCTTTCCAAGTCCTTAAGTACACGAGACTCATCTGGGAAGCTGCAGGCTGCTGTGGTCCCCTTGTCACAGTCCTGGTCTGCCTCTCCCATCCCACCCGCCTGCAGCTCCCTTCTCTGCAAATCAAGGCAACATCTTGCAGTTGGAGGCAAAACTCTTTTATTCTTGCAACTACATGATGAACTTTTGCAAAAATGGCTACAGCTGTTAACTCTGTTCCAGCCAAACCCTGGGGCTCTTGGGCTGCTTGGGTGGCTGCTGAGTGAAGGACGTGCTTGGTCTCTTGTCCACAGCCATGTGTTCTATTTTCCAGGACATCTTTATCCAGCCTGGCGCTGGTTACCTGGTCCCATACCTTGGGTTGACGTGTTGCCCAGAGAGCAACAGGTAGTGTTGAATGACAGGAAGAAAAGGCAAAGTTCCAGTTGGCAACTTCTACGCCCAAAGCAAGACGGTCATTGCTGCCTGTTCCTCTCCCATTGCCTTCACAGAGAGCTCCAGCCTCCACCTCCAGCAGCACAACTGTTTTCTTTGTAGCCCTTGAGCACGTGGACTGGTTGCCTGGCACGGCTGGCGGATGGCAGCTCCTACCTCATGAACGACCTCCGGCCAGTCCTGAAGAAGGCCTCGATCTGTTCCAGAGATCTGCCTTTGGTTTCTGGAACGCAGCAGCCTGTGAATAAGATGTTCCCGGCACAGATGACAGCGAAGAATAGGAAGGGCACCTCGAGGCCGAAGACTTCCTGGAAAGCGGGACAGAAAGCAGATATGAGCTGGTGCAGAGAGGGTCTGAGGAGGGGCTGCTGGACACCATCCCAGGGCAGTGCCCACCACGACCCAGAGGAAGAACCGGGTCAGGGTGAAGGCTGTCAGCCAGCTCACGACAACACAGAGGCCTGAGGCCACCCCGCGGGCTTTCAGAGGGAGGATCTCCGACATCAGCAACCAAGTGATGGGGCCCCAGCCCATGGCATAACCTGCAGGAGAGGAGGAGGAAGGTGAGGCTGTTGAGGCTTCAAAGCCCACTGGGGAGTGCAGAAGAGCCCTGTGCAATCCTGCCCTGCATCAATCATTATTGCCCCCCATTCATGCTCTGTCAGTCCTCAAAGTGACTTCAGATGCCATCTTTCTTCGTCTTCCAGGGACATCTGCCTGCCTTCCAACTCCAAGCCCAAATCTCCTTGCTCCATATCACCCTGCTTCAGATGAGAAACGTCCCCCCAGGCTGGTACCCAGCCCTGTGCTGTGGGTCCTGGGCTCTCACTCTCTGCACTTACCCATTATGAAGAACATGGTTGCCAGGAGGGGGATGAGGGTGATGTAGTTGGTCGGCTCAGCTGGAAGGTTGGCAGAGCTCACCAGGGTCTTGTTGGCAATGGTGCCGTTCTGAGAAGCTGGCACGAAGTGGATATAGAGCCCCATGGTCAGGTTGGAGACCAACATGACACCAGCTGTGGAGAGATGCAACGGCATAGTGGGACCAATGGGTGAGTGATCCGCTCCATGCCAAGGGCCAAGCTCCCGGGAACGCCTCTGCTCAGGAGCTGAGCTACCACCAAAGGAAAGAGACCTCCCCCACTCCTGCCTGAGTCCTGTATGGCTGAAGTTTCCACTCCTGCACGTTTGCAGAGCTCACAGAAATCCTTAAATAAGAGCTTCCCTTGCACAACAGTGGGAGAGAGACATACCCGATACAAAAAGAAGAATCTTCCTCCCAGCTTTATCCATTGACACAGCAGCGATCACCACCGAGAACAGACGTACCAAGCCAACAAGAGCTGCATCGTACTCTGGTTTCTGCAACGGCAAAAGCAGTGGGGAAGCTGAGATGGGAGAGCCAGGGGAGGGGCAGGTTCCTACATGTGTTGCCTTGACTCTGGCTGATGCCTTTGTCAAAGCTATCCTCCTATAATAAGAGACCAGAGAAGAGCCTGAAGCTCAGAGGAGGAGGAGAGCGAGGAGACAGTGGGGCCAGTCCTACTCCCCATCCTCATGCAGCCTTTTGCAGGGCAGGTGCTTGGCAATTGCTGCCAACCAGGTGCTTTAAAAAAAAGGCTTCAAAGTTGGGGTCTTAGAGCTGCAGGGGATTTGGAGCGTTGGGCAGCCATCACTGAAGACAGAGCAGTCCGAGCACAGGCTGAACCCCAGGGCTCACCAGGATGACGGATGTTTTCTTGAAAATTGACTGCAGGTACACGAGGACACAGGTGACACCAGAGAGCTGCTGCAGGAACCTCATCCCCACCGCGATCAGGATGGGCTTGTAAATGAAGGGGTCCTTGATCTCGGCACAGGAAACCCGCTGGCTCTGGAGGGGACAAAGCCAGAAAGCCGAGGTCTCACCACCTCTGGGCTCCACCGTGGCACCCAGAAGATGGCTCAGGAGTTGCCCAAAGGAGGCTGGATTTTGTAGTTTTCACATTACATCTCCCCCGTGCTGGAGGTGAGCCTCCTCACCTGCTTCCTCACGCTGTCCTTGATCTGCTCATACTCCCTGGCGTAGTCCGTGTCCTTGCCCCGCAGCCAGCACAGTGACCCCCGGGCCTCATCTTCCTTCCCCTGGGAGAGCAGGAACCGGGGCGAGTTGGGCATGAAGCAGAGCAGGATGATCTACGTGAGCACAGGCACCTCCCCTGCAACAGCCAGCCAGCGCCAGTCCAGGACCAGCCCTGCCCGGAGCAGCACGGTTAGGAAGGGAGCCCTGGCCTTGCTTCCACATGGGCACCCCAACAGCAGAGACTTAATAAATCCAGAGGAGGGGAAAAAAAAAAAATAATCCCAAAAACTAGAGGGAGATTTTCCATGTTTTTCTCCTAGCAAAGAAGCATTTTCAGCTGTTGTTCAATACGGGGAAATTCCAGCAAGCTCCCCCAAATCTTAGAGGATCCAGCAAGATCCTGCAGCAACCAGGGCACACACTGGCAGGAGATGCGCAGGCAGTTCATCGTGTGCTGCCCTTCAGCCCCGATGAAACCTCTGCAGGACCTAGGTCTGCAGGCATGGTGATGGCCACGGGTCCGTGGGGGTTATGCATTCATCCCTCTGAGCACACACACAAGTGTGGGTTATGCACGGGCAACCCTGTCCAGGCCCCCTTTGCACACCCGTGGTGGTTGTGAGCTGGCTGCGAGGGGAAGGAATCCATCAGCTTGCTGAGAAAGTTGTTTAAAATAAACTCCCCTTCCCTAAGGTCTCGCTGAGGGTTTCCTGCCCTCTGACCACCAAGATACTTGCCCAGCGCGTACAGGACGAGGGAGCCCAGCACTGCCATGAGCTGAGGACAAGCGCCCAGCATGCCTCTGACCCCGGCGTGGGAGATCTCCGAGATGTAGACCTGGAGCGGGACAACACACGCTTAACAGAGCTGCAGTATACAGCCGTCACCACCAAAACCTGTCCTCTGTCACCTCGCAGTCATCCACTGCGGCCAGGGGAAACCCAAACTGCTGGGAAACCGCCCTCTCGGGGTGGAAACCTGACCGGTCCAGCGGCGCGAGCTGGTCCTGGCAGGTGGAGAGGACAGCCTTGCAGGCACCACCGCTTCCCTCCCTCACCTCGGCGAGGTGACTGCGTGACCGCTCCAGCGGCACGCTCAGACTCCCATTACTGGAAAGACGTGCCCCAGGGTTACTTAATTCTTGCCTTCCCCTCTGCATGCAACATGAAGTCAGCGTTCGGTAAACATAGGAGGAAGTAACTGCCAGGAGGAACAGTGCAGGGATTGGGGACCTGCCTTCCCTTTTCTGTGGGCAAGAAAGTCCAGCACTGTGGGGGCAGCTCGGCCTGGCCATGCCAGGGCTGCTAACCCGGTGCATCCTCCCCGTCCCCAACCTCCCAGCCGCAGCTCTGGAGCATTGCTGATGCCTCCAAAAAGCAGCGGGATGCCCCAGGCTCGGCTACGGCACCGCCCCGTCTCCCGCCGTGCATATCCCTGGCCAGCTCCCTCCCATGGCACATTACGGGTATGGAGGCGGATGTCACGCCGCCGGCATAGCCCGTCAGCACGCGGCCCAGCAGCAGCATCCCGATCCCCTGGGCACCGGCCATCAGCGCGTATCCCACGGCGGAGGGCAGCGCCGAGAACATGATGCTCAGTTTGCGGCCCAGGCGGTCGTTGAGAAGCATGGCACTGAGCCCCCCCACTGCCGCTCCCAGTGTGAACACCGACTGCAGGGAGACACGGAGAGGGGCCTCAGTGGGTCTGGACTCCCCCCGCACACCCGCTGGCTTTGCCCCCCAGCCCTGGCAGGGACAACCCCACTCCTTACCCCGAACCAGGATGCCGTGTGCTGGTTCAGCCTCAGCGCAGGGCTGGGGTGAGCCTCCAGGGCAGGGATGACGGGCGAGGGGTAAACCAGGGCGAAGCCGAAATTGAAGTTCCCCAGGACAGCGGCAAACACAGCCAGGTAGAGCCGCTTGTTGTGGAGGCTCCTGAGGGAGGGACGGAGCGAGAAGGACGTGTTGGGTGCCCTTATTGCACCCGGCAGAAAATTGAACTCTGTCTTGCAGCTTCCCCCAGCCTTTGCCGAGGCTCTCGTGACACCCACGGAGGGATTTTCCTGGGGAATGGCCCTTCACAGCCCCAGGCTGGTGGGGTTTCTCTGAGCGGAGCAGCAGACGCTCCTGCCGTGCGGCAGGGGGGCGAGAGCCCATCCCCCCGGGCACTGCCGATGCTTTCCTCAATGCCGGGTGGTTTTCAGTGGGTTCAACAAACTGAGAAAAGCAGAAGCTGCAGCCGGGCTGCACCATGGACCCAGCCGGCTCATCCCAGCGGAGCAGAGAGGGGGCTCCTTTCAAGGTCCCCGTACCCCCCAGCAGGATCTTATGTCCCCACGAGATTCGGATGCCCAAAAGCACGCACACCCGCAGCTCTCCCAGGCGTGCTCATCCAGCACCACACACCCTGGGCAGGATGAGACCCATCTCAAGGCAACTCAGGAATGACAGCAGTATGAAGCAGCTCTTTCACCAGCTCCCCCCAGCCCAGTGCTCTCGGGACAGGGGGCACAGCCCACCCCGCAGCCAGCCCCATGGCCCCAGCCTGGCCCTTACCGCAGGTACTCTTTGTCGAGCCTCTTGCCAGCGCTCTCGGTGAAGGTCCGATACGAGGACCTCGTCTTCCTCACGAGGGGCTCCCGCGCGCTCGGCTCCATGGCAGTGCCGTGGCCGGTGCAAGTCGCGGTGCAGGTGCCGCTTCACTTGAGGCCAGATGCTCGGGGCTGCCTCTGGGGACGGGGAGGAAGAGGCAGCTGAAAGCGAAAGAGGAGAGGCTGCTGGGCGTTGCCTAATCAGAGAAATCTGTGTCTCATGGGCTCATGCCCGGCTGGCCTCACGAGGGGCCGGAAAACCAACAGGCAAAGAGCCACGGGGAAACAATAGTGCCTTGTAGCCTTCACCCCGTGCCCGCCCAGCCCCTGTCCCTCCCAGACCCCATCGACACCAAAACCCACCGCTGCAGTGGCACTTACAGAGACGATCCTTGCAGGACCGTTTCCACCAGCAAAAATGTCCCTTTGCTAAGGCTACGCCTCTCCCCTCGAGGAACCGGTACCAGTTAGACTGGCCAAACACTGCTTCTTTTTACAAAAGTAAATTACATCCGTGTGAGCCTCCACAGCCACCTTGGGGAAGGGTTTTCAATGTAGACCAGAGCTGAGAAAGAGGAAGGAGAAGAAATGAGAGGGAGGTGAATATGGAGGGGGCACAGGGAGCAGGTGAGGGGGATGAAGAGCGCTGATGAGGATGGAAAAGGAGAGGGCGGCACCTCTGCCGCATTGGGTGCAGCTGCCAGGGACCCTGGGCTGCCCATGGGTGCCTTTGCCCCCTCGCCCTGATCCCCTCAACCCTGCAGGGCTCAGCGGGTAGCGTTTTGCTGGGGCATCTGCAGGTCGTGGCGGGCTGCAAGGTCCAAGCTCACCCTGTTGGAAAGGGGGGGACACACCTACTGGCTTTGCACTTGGACTTAATTAGCAAAAATGTCTTTCCCAAAACTACTGTAGTGCTCCTCTTGTTTCCACCATTCACCTTAGTCCCTGGTGCTTTTGGGGCCACCTGGATAGTTTCTGCACCCCCAAGTCTGCCTGGGAGCCCCAGTGACGCTTCGGTGTCAGCCAGGACCTGCTACACTCTTCCCTCCGTGCAATCTGGTTCCCCTTCTGCAACCACCAAGTGCCGCATTTAGTGTCTGATCGATGCTGGGGATTTACAGCTGACTCAGGCGCTCAGGGCTGTGATTTCTCTGTGGGAAGAAAGGTCATGGAGCAAGGGGACATCAGGGGGGCAGGCCAGCTCATGCAAAAACTTTCCAGTGTCACGTTGGCCCAAGCAGGGTTGTCACAACAGCCTCCAGCCAACCTGGAGCTGGTCCCTGCACCCTGGGCACCCCCTCCATCAGCAAATGCCATCGGTTACCTCCCTGGTGTGCATTTTGTTCCTGCATCTGGGCTAGCAGCGCCTGTTAGCTCCCACGGTGGCAATGCTCTGTGCAAGGGCATGGCCCTGCATGGGGCAGCAGGGGCCAGGGAACATCGCTGCTGGTTGCATCTTGCAGACCAAGGAAAATCTGCAAGTGAGTGGCCTTAGGGAATCTGAAGGGAATTTTAAATTCCCTAAGGTCAGTCATTGAGAAAGTTATTCTTTGTCCCCTCTGCCCCTCTCAGGCCTCAGCTTTTTCCCAAAACCAGGCACACCGAGTCTCTGCAATGCAATATTTGCCATGTTCCACCCCAAAGCAGCTGCCTTTCAGCACTGTGAGTTAAAAAAAGGGCCCCCAAAGCAGGATGCTGTAGCAGAGGGAGGGCATGCTGGGGGTGGAGGGCTGTGGGGTGATGCTGCTGGGGCTGGTCCAGGTGAAAAGTGGCTGCAGGTGCTGTGCACGATGGTGCTCACTGGAGAATGTGGCTGCAAGGTCTCCAGGGGCTGAGGTTGCTGCAAGGTAAGGGCTTTTCTCAGTTTTCCTTGCTGATCCTTGTTTTTGCTACAAATATCTCTAGCAAGGAGAAAGCTGTGGGCTTGCTGGTTAGTTACGTCTGGCTCTTTCCATCGTGGAGCTGTTTGGCTGCTGCTTTTTGGGACTGTGGTGGGGCTGAGCGTGCTGCCCTGTGCAGGGTCGTGCCAGCTCTGTGCTTGTGCTTTTCAGAGGGGTTTGTGCGCAGGGTTGCGGTCCCTGCTGGGAGCGACGTTGCTTAGAGCAAAGGTGTGAAGCCTGCATCGCATGTCTGCGGTGTGCTTGGGCGTGAGCGGAAGAAAGGCTTCTGCGCGTGTTGATGGGTCTGTTTCTCTGTTGTCTGTGCGTCCTTTGAAGGTTCACGTCTCTCAAAGACAAGGGCTGGGAGCTTCCCGTTTGCGAAGGTGAAAACTGAAGCAGGGAGAGATGACGTGTCCTGATGGGCTGTGGGGAATCGGTGGCAGTGATGGGTGCTGACCTGGCTGTATAGTCTGGAGGCTTGGGCAGGGAGAAGATGATTTGGAGCAGACTACACTGCCATCTGCATGCAACAACATCTCTTGCTAATTCATCTCCCTCCTGTCAGTTGTTTTTGGAGATCGATGTGGCCCCTAGTGAGGGACTTCAGAAAGCAGGATCTGCCTCACCCCTCTGTCCGGGCTTTGTGCTCTCTCCTCTCCCAGGAGCAGGGGTGCTGAGCCCCAGGCCCTGGCAGCTCCTCGGGGTCGGGTTGTGCTTGGGTGCGCAGGCTGGGTGCTGGGTGGCTGGGGGCCGCCTGCCGCAGCCCCTGGGACCCAGCAAAACAACCCTAGGACCTGCTCTGCTGCCGCAGTGGGGTGAGCCCAGCCGTGCTGGTGTGACCCCAGCATGTGGGTGCACAGGGCTGGGGCCTCGAGTGCCACCTCCTGCCCCAAAGGGGCTATTGCCTGTGTCTGATTTAATTCTCATGCTTCTGGCTACAAAGCAACTATTAACTGAAGAGTTGTCAAGCCCATAAATGTACATTAGCTGTTTTTGCTGTATTTATGTGATAATTTAGTTACCAAGGTTTTTCCCTAAACGGCCCTGTTTGTGGGAAGCTTTCGGGAGGGAGCGGGGTGACGCAGCGCCGGGAAGGCTGGCAGCGGCTGCTGCGTTTCCCGGGCTGGGAGTGGTGTTGGGATGGGGATGGGACCCTGCTCCGGGCTGGAGCACCTCCTCGGCACGTGGCCGCTGCATGCACTTGTCACAGATGCAGAAGGACACTGTATCTGTCCTAAACCTGAGCCCACTTGGACATGGGACAGAGAGGAGTGCTCACCCCAACCTTCCCCCCCCCCCCCCTTTT